AATTTAAGTAATCCAACCATGTGTACTCCGCCATCTTGTCTTTGAAGTATTCTCTCATTGATCAAGAGAAGATTTGAAAATACTGGAGATATTTTTACATCACTGGTTAGAGAACAATCAGCTACATTTTGGAATTTTGCATTTTGATTCGGGATCACCAAAAGAGAAAGGCAACACTTGTCAGCAATGTTCCCTCAGATTTTTTGGGCCACTGAGCAAATTGTAGGTTTTGTGAGCGGAAACTATAGAACGTTGTGAGAATATTGTGCTACTTCCGGCGCACGTTTACATTGAACACTGAGGCTGTACCCTTACAGTTTTAGACAGTAGCCAATAGGCCATTGTGGCTATTTGAGCAGAATGTAGGCCTACCAACAAAACCAATGGAGCAAATCCCATAACATTTCCACATGGAAATAGCGTTTGATTTCTATGATATAGCCTACAGGAGCCTTTATGTGGTGATCAATGCAGGCTTACATTGCATGATACTTTTAAAAACGTTTTTACATTATGAAGGGCTTGACATTAATTAAATATATTTTTTACTTGGTCTGTAACACCATGGGCCAAATAGGTGACTGTAAATTGCATTGTGTTTGTATGATGCAAGAAACCACTTTACAAACATAAAGGTCATTAATACCATGCAGAGAATTAGACAATGTAGGCTACCCCTCTGCCTGTTGGCTTATTTGCATATTCAAGCCTGTCTCAAAATACAACACTGCCCCTTTAAGACAAGCTTTTTACTTGACTGACTTTTCAAAGAAAATAGCCTACATGTTTTGTGCTCTTGTAGGAAGCAGTAACTCCCCATTGCTGACCTAGACTTATCTATAACTGGCAAAGAATATCAACAAATGTGCACACGCAAGGCTCTGTGCTCTAATCTAAAAAGCGCATTCACGTGGGGTAATTGCAAGATATCCCCACCAATAGAATTCTACTCCGTTGCGCTCTGGCTCTGCCTACAACAAAATCAGACTAAATCTTGCAAAGTTTGGTTTGGTTTGTTGCATTGGAAAGGGGCTAATATAATGTTGATTCGATTACAGAGAATTTTGATCTACAGTGCCTTGCGAAAGTATTCATCCCCCTAGGCGTTTTTCCTATTTTGTTGCATCCCCCTTGGCGTTTTCCTATTTTGTTGCATTACAACCTGTCATTTAAATTGACTTTTATTTGTATTTCATGTAATGGACATACACAAAATAGTCCAAATTGGTGAAGTGAAATTAAAAAAATAACTTGTAATTAAAAATAAAATAACGGAAAAGTGGTGCGTGCATATGTATTTTGCTATGAAGCCCCTAAATAAGATCTGGTGCAACCAATTACCTTCAGAAGTCACACAATTAGTTAAATAAAGTCCACCTGTGTGCAATCCAAGTGTCACATGATCTCAGTATATATACACCTGTTCTGAAAGGCCCCAGAGTCTGCAGCACCACTAAGCAAGGGGCACCATCAAGCAAGTGGCACCATGAAGACCAAGGAGCTCTCCAAACAGGTCAGGGACAAAGTTGTGGAGAAGTACAGATCAGGGTTGGGTTATAAAAACATACCAAACTTTTAACATCCCACGGAGCACCATTTTAAATCCATTAGTAAAAAATTGAAAGAATATGGCACCACAACAAACCTGACGAGAGGGCCGCCCACCAAAACTCACGGACCAGGCAAGAAGGGCATTAATCAGAGAGGCAACAAAGATAACCCTGAAGGAGCTGCAAAGCTCCACAGCGGAGATTGGAGTATCTGTCCATAGGACCACTAAGCCGTACACGCCACAGAGCTGGGTTTTACGGAAGAGTGGCCAGAAAAAAGCCATTGCTTAAAGAAAAAAATAAGCAAACACGTTTGGTGTTCACCAAAAGGCATGTGGGAGACTCCCCAAACATATGGAAGAAGGTACTCTGGTCAGATGAGACTAAAATTTAGCTTTTTGGCCATCAAGGAAAACACTATGTATGGCGCAACCCAACACCTCTCATCACCCCGAGAACACCATCCCCAAAGTGAAGCATGGTGGTGGCAGCATCATGCTGTGGGGATGTTTTTAAACGGCAAGGACTGGGAAACTGGTCAGAATTGAAGGAATGATGGATGGCGCTAAATACAGGGAAATTCTTGAGGGAAACCTGTTTCAGTCTTCCAGAGATTTGAGACTGGGATGGAGGTTCACCTTCCAGCAGGACAATGACCCTAAGCATACTGCTAAAGCAACACTCGAGTGGTTTAAGGGGAAACATTTAAATGTCTTGGAATGGCCTAGTCAAAGCCCAGACCTCAATCCAATTGAGAATCTGTGGTATGACTTTAAAGATTGCTGTACACCAGCGGAACCCATCCAACTTGAAGGCGCTGGAGCAGTTTTGCCTTGAAGAATGGGCAAAAATCCCAGTGGCTAGATGTGCCAAGCTTATAATTGCTGCAAAGTGTGGCTCTACAAAGTATTGACTTTGGGGGGGTGAATAGTTATGCATGCTGAAGTTCTGTTTTTTTTGTCTTATTTCTTGTTTGTTTCGCAATAAATATTTTGCATCTTCAAAGTGGTAGGCATGTTGTGTAAATCAGATAATACAAACCCCCCCCAAAATCTATTTTAATTCCAGGTTGTAAGGCAACAAAATATGAAAAATGCCAAGTGGGTGAATACTTTCTCAAGCCACTGTATATAGTGCGAACTCAGTGAAGTTCAATCTCTGCGCATCCTGGCATTTGTTTTGCGCAGCAGTCCTGCAGGAGGTGCGCGGCCACGCACAGCTTAGAGGGAACATTGCTTGTCAGTTACTCATTTGATTTCAGCGTGATAATCATTGCACAACAGGGGGGAGATGAGGTTGCGTGTCCTGTTAAAACTAACACAGCTCAAAAACCACACGGAATAGGGGAATAATGTGTACATCACTGGTTAGAGGACAATTTGTAGAAGACATCTAGCTACATTTTCAAGTGTTGCATATTGAGTCAAATGGGTCGCCAATGCAGTAAGTGTAACTTTTTTTTTGTTAATCACTTCCATCGATATCACGCTAAAATCAATAGAATGCGGGGCAAACATTTGGAGTGTAGCGCTATTTAAAACAAACTATTCAAAGTAGGGCTGGGCGATATCGAATTAATGTTTTAGTGCGATATTCCAAATGCCTATATCGCAAGAATCAAGTTCTTGTTTTATTTGTTTATGAGCTTTTATGTCCCCTTGTTCTCATGTTGTCTTTTTGGTCTTGTCTCCTGTGCCATGTGTACCTTCCCATTTACTCACACACACACCAAGCCCCTCCCCCCTGCCACTCACAACAACAAAGATGAGAGATCACTTCATCTCTGACAAGAGGTTTTAACTTGCTATTTGAGGTTTGGTCCAACAGAATCGGTAATTTGTATTTATTTTAAGGCAGCAGCTTCTCTTCCTGGGGTCCATTAAAATTGAGGCAGTTATATACCACTTAAGAAACATTACAATACATTTCACAACACATTAAGCGTGTCCCTCAGGCCACTACTCAACTACCACATATCTACAACACAAAATCATATGGACACCGAAATACATTTAGACTTTATTTTACTGTAATAGCGGAGTAGTTAACCTTTCTAGCGATACCTTTTTTTTTTTTTTGTTCATGTCTCAACTTCTACATGGTTAGTTAGATGAGAACTTGTAGAAGGCTTATCTATATTCAGGAATGTTGGTTTTGGGAGGCAGCCATCATGGAAAAGGGCACAAACACTTTTTCTGTTAACTTCAACGAATCACGACCCGCCATAGGATATCAACAGTGACAATGGTTGGCTGCTATTTAAGTGATAGTTTGGCTGTCAAATCAGTGTATTGGTGTGTGGCCAGCTACTTTTATAGAGAGGCTTGGGCGGTATACCGTATACCGGGGTATTTGGAAATGGCCACAGGATGGTTTTTCAATACTGTTAACTTTCTTTGAAGTTGAATACATTTGAATCTTTGTAGCTACATTTTAAGTAAATATCTGCAGTCAACTTGTGCAATACGTTAGAAGATAAAGAAGATTGCGTTCTTAATTTCATCGGTCACAATCTTTCATTATGAAGCTTACCGGTCACGTGGTGTTTGTTTTACAAGCGCAAAACGATGAGAGCGTAGCCTTGTGAGTCACTCACTGTTGTGCAGCACGCACTTGGTGATCTAGTTACGGTATGGAATTCACAATTTAAATGTTTGCCAGCTAGATATCTTATAACTTAACTGTCTAAAATGTGTTAAGTGCACTGCAGTTGTTCATTTGGTTTGCTAATTTAGTAGCTATGTAGATATCTAGATAAATGGTTTCTTCCAAAATCATGCTTGGCTTCGTAACAGCAAAACATCCTCTCCTGGTTCAAGAGCCTTGCCGTCTAATACTTGTTTTGTGCGTGCAGCAAACTGTAAGTAGCATCTTTGAGTTAATTTGTTAAATGGGATGTCTGTCCTGCAAATAGTTTAGGTTAGAGACTATAAAATGTTTGCAATGCACTCGTTAGCATTCTCTATGGGATTTCACATATACTTGTTAGCATTGCTAATCCCCCCAATTCATTGTGGTCAAAACGTCAGCTTGTGTAATGTCGTAACGCATACTGTCCGCATCATGGAAAGTAGCGTAATATACATTAATTAGATATGGTAAAATTATATCTTAATTTGGTCTGATAGTAAATGAAGCAAACTCTCAGATTTTATAAATACTTACATTTCCCATTAGTTTAGCCATTTTAGAGATTTAAAAAATGCTCTTACGCACAATTTAACCGGGCGCTCTACAAAGAGCGCCCCATAATGACTGTGCAGCAGCCCATTCATTCGACTTCCCTACCATTATTGTGGGTGCGATATCAGGCTCCACTCCAGGTAGCTAGGCTTATCGGTTGGGTAGCTAGCAAAGCGATCTGATTTTGTTGCAGCTAATGAGTTCATCTATTCTTATGTATTAGGTAACTGTCTAACTAATGTGGGTTTTTTTTCTTTACAAAGGGAAATGAACGGCAAGGCCAAGCATGAACCCAATACCAGGAAGGAGAGGCCCCAGAAGCGTGGAGGTGGTCGCTTTGAGCCCTATGGAAACCCATCAAAGAGATATCGTGTGTTTGTCAGCAACATCCCATATGATGTGAAATGGCAGGCACTCAAAGATCTAATGAAAGAAAAAGGTAAGGTGTTAAGAGTAGTGTTGGATCCGCTATAGATATGAAGTCCAGCAAGGCTAATAAAGCCTCCCATAACGGGTCATTTGGGTTGAACCACTTCACCACGTTGACTGGAAGGCCTCTGGCCTGTAAAGGACCCAAGTTGCAATTAGTAGCTATGAGGTTCTTGGTATGCGGACTAGGTGGCAAAACTTGAAATGGGAGTCGCCTTTCCATGGATTGGCCTGTTCTGCTAACTCTCCGGGATGTTTCAGATTTCAGAACAGTTCTCTGTGATTTCTGCCTTCGGCTAGTCATTTTTATAGTGCTACGAATAGCATTATACATTTGTACTTAACTTTGGAGTGCTTTAGCTCTTCAGCTACACTTGATTGAACAAAGGGAATCTACCAAGTAAAGGGGGCTCTTCAAATGAAGTACAGAGCTTATAGTATATGGGCAATCAATTGCACTGTTGTGTTGGGTCTTGAATGGTGTGTGTATATAGCAAATTGCGTCTCACAAATGCAGAAAAATAGAAAAACGTACTTATTACCTTGAGACCTAATGAATTTCTCTCAGGCGCTTACACTACAATTGTTAAAGCGGTTCTTGCTGCTTATGTTTTTCTGCGTGATCCTTTTCTTGGAGATAGTCAAATTAAGAATTGTATAATGTTTAACGGGTTCTCTGTAATTTTATCTTAATTTGCAGCATGGACCAGTTGTCCTCAACTTCTTATCTTCAATTTGAATCCTGCAACAAAAGGAACGGTGTACTGTTCATCTAACAGTTTCAACAGTTGTTTACATGGTTTTGGCAAAGCTATGGCTATGTTAGAACTAATGTAGTAAATAGCACCTGCTTTTAATCATGATAAAGCATAGGTGTTCTGAGAGGTTACCAATGCTTTTCAGAAACATAATTTAGTGTTTGGATATGATTGAATGTGGCCTTAAATTGCATTCTCTTTTTTAGGTTTGTTGTTTCCGCAGATCTCCATGTTGTACCGATCACGGATGTGTGTTTGGGATTTCTTGGGGTACAGGTCTACAAAATGAAGCATCTTCTTACGCCTGTTCTTGTTTCAGCTGAGGATTGGTTCATGTCCATTTATGGTGCCGACTCATTTGCTGGAATTGGCAATGGTTGTCCCTCTGTTAGCTACAAACAAATTTGGACACTGTTGTGCCTCCAGGTCCAATGTATGTACAGCTTTCCAAAAATGTCATTCCATGTTCTTCAGACATTGGAGATAGCTGAGTTGGTACAATTTTAGTTTTTGTGTGTATTCATTCAAAGGTGCGGCAGAACCGTTGTATCAGTCAGTGGTTCTAAATACATTTAACAAGGAACATGGATTTTGGAAGGGTAGACTCGTGGTTTCAAAAGGCTTCGCAAACTTTCATACTGTCATTCTGTCAAGTTTGTCTTTAGAAAAGGGTTCCTCCATGATGACAACGCATCCGGTAGCTATTTGACTATTGTTCTCGTCAATATATTGGTCTTGGTGTTTCGGGACTCGGCAAGGACAGGCTAAGAAGTCATTTTAAGATCCAGAAAGAGCTTTTTGTAGACCTGTACCAGAATTGGCTACTGAGGTGCTTGGGGGGAGGCTCTGGAGTAGCAGGCCGAGCTCACGGTCACCAACCGCTTGTGTGTCTGCTCTAAACCCCCATTGTTCTCTCGGCTTCTCTCCCTTGGTGTGTGTCGTCTGGAATCTGATTTGTAGTGGGTGAGGTAACGTACGTGGAACACTTAATGGACGGAGAAGGCAAATCAAGGGTAAGTGCAATAGTCAGCTTGAGTTTCCTTTTCTTTCATTGTGGGGATTTTCAAACATGGAGTTTTGATGAAAGCGTGTCAAGTGGGTGACGCTGAACAGAACATGTTGCAGTATGTGGCACTGAATGAGGTCATCATGGGTTGGTGTCTTATTGGGAATTCAGGTTTTAGTAGTTTGGAAAGTCCCTTTTGCTGCAGATTTGTTCATCTGGGACTAAAATGGGGCCCAGCCACCAAGAGGTTGTAACATGCAATAGATTTGAGTCCATTGAATTGTTTTTGTGGAACAAATATTTCCATTTGAGTCCATTTTGTCTGTGGGACTTCTGCTTTTGATGTGGACAATGTTATTAAGGGTTTAGATTCACCAGACCTCTGCATTTGTTATATTGTCTGGTGACCAGCTTTTAACCTGTCTACTCATTTTGAAAGAGTAGCTGACTGTTCTAGGCTAAGGCCATACAAGTGAGTAGAATGTATGTTTAACCTTGTTATTGAATATGCATGAAGTCATTGTTCTCTACATTGCGAAGACTGATTACTAACTTGAATGTTTTTCTACTTCAATGATGCTGTTGTGCGGTCTTCAATCAACAAAGGGTTGTGCGTAAGTGTTTTCTTAATTCAGGCTTTATTCTAATAGATGTCTCAAAGTTCTAAGTTCCTGATATTCATCATGGTTTTTGTCTCAACAGGGTTGTTGAGTTCAGGACTGAGGAGCTGATGAAGAAGGCTGTGGAGAAGGTCAACAAGCACAACCTGAATGGTCGGCCCCTGAAGGTTAAAGAGGTAAGCAGTCTTTTTTTTGATGCTACTGACTTAACACCAGAAGGAGAAAAAAACAAATCAATAGGCTTGTATTTCCTGTTTGGTAATGTTGCCAATGTCTGTCTTTCCCCAGGACCCAGATGGTGTGATTGCCCAGAGGGATTCCCACAGGGCCCAGGGTGGTGGAGGTGGTGGCGGTGGCCATGGTGGTATGAACATGGGGATGGGGATGGGGATGGGGATGGGGATGGGGATGGATCGCATGAATATGGAGCGGATGAACATGGACTGCATGGGCCCAGGACCGGGCGACCCACCCATGGTCAACATCCCCCCCAGCCTCATGAACAACTCCAACATCCCCAATGAGATCATCCACGGGCTGCAAGCCGGCAAGATCGGAAGCACCGTCTTCGTAGCTAACGTAAGTCGTGGATTGTAGTCAGTGTGCCAATATACATCATTTTAACCATGTCAATGCCATGTTGTGTTTCCAGCTGGACTACAAGGTTGGCTGGAAGAAGCTGAAGGAGGTGTTTGGCATGGCAGGAGTGGTGGTGCGTACTGACATCCTGGAGGACAAGGATGGGAATAGCAGGGGCATGGGCACTGTAACCTTTGACATGCCTATTGAAGCTGTCCAAGCCGTCAGCATGTTCAACGGTCAACTGCTGTTCAACCGAGTCATGCATGTCAAGCTGGTAAGCAACATATTCATTTTAGAGAGTGTACAAACTACACATTTTGAATGTATTTTAAGCTGTGCTCTTGTTGGGTATTTCAGGATGAGAAGTCCTTGCCAAAAGGAGACTTTGCACCACCTGAGAGACCCCCAGCACTACCCCGTAAGTACAATGTCGTCGTCGTCCCCAAAGTAAACCGAAATCAATGAAAAACAGGCCGGTAGTATTTGTTCTTTCTCTCAATCATCCATTGCTTTTCCCTCAGGTGGCCTGAGTGGCATTGGGCAGGGACTGGGGCCTGGTGGCCAACCCATCGACGCCACTGCACTGAACAGAGGAGGAGGTGGTGGAGGAATGGGCAACATGGGACCTGGAGGTAAGAGGCTGTCTTTGTGATCCTCTTTCACATCAACTTTTGAATTTGACTTGGTTCAGTCAATCACTAATGTTTGTTTGGTTTGTAGGCATGGATGGCATGGGCTTTGGTGGTGGCATGGGTAGAATGGGAGGTATATACTTTTTGTACTGCGTCAATTGAATGGGTAGAGTTCATCAAATCGTTTGCATTATTTTTACTTTTTTTTATACATTTGAGTATTGAAGATTACATTTTGTTATGATTTTTTCCCCCCTAGGCATGGATAACTTTGGTGGAGGAATGAACAACATGGAGCGCTTTGGACCATCAGGAATGGGACGTATGAATGGTAAGGAAATTAATTTCACGCTTGATGTGAAACATTCACGTTTGGCTGGTCTACTAATAGTTTCATCTCTTGTGTTGTCAGAGATGGACCGTGGGATTGGTGGTGCTTTTGACCGGGAGTGTGGTCGAAATGAAATGGGCATGTCTCGCAATACTTTTGTAGAGTCCTTCGATAGAGGAATGGGTTAGTACTTTAAGTACTTGCACAATTTTTATCAATCAAATGTATTTTTACATCAGTAATTTCTTGCTAACGTGCTGAACACGCCTGATACTAATTTCTCACAGGTCTAAACATTCTCTCACTAGTTGTTGTCTTTTCTGTGTTTTCCCTCGACTTACAGGTAGCTCACTGGGCATGGACCGCATGAGCTCTGGCATGGATCGCCTGGGTGGTGGAATGGACCGTCTGGGCGGGATGGAGCGCATGGGAATGGAGAGGATGGACCGCGTGTCTGATCTGGACAGGCTGGGGGGCTCTGGCTTTGACAGGATGGGCTCTGGGCTGGACCGGCTGGGGCCCAGTATGGACAGACTTGGTTCTGGCATGGATCGTATGAGCTCCAGCGTGGACCGCCTGGGCCCAGCTGGGTTTGACTGCCTAGGCCCGTCCAGTTTAGACCGCATGTCCGCTGGCCTGGACTTCGCCTCCCCCATGGGCATGGCGGACCGCATGAACACCGGCATGGAGAGGATGGGAACCAACTTTGACCGCATGGGGTCTGCCGGCATCGACCGCTTCCCAAACAGCGGGCTTGACCGCATGGGCTCCACCATGGACCACATGGGCGCTGCCGGTGTTGGAGGCCAGTTTGACCGGTCAACTGAGATGGAGCGTGGGGGCTTTGGAGGAAATGGCTTTGGAGGTCCTGGGGCTGGAGCCAACGCTAGGAAGGGCTGTCAAATCTTCGTCAGAAATGTAAGTGTCTAGAGAAATTACGATCTTAAAGTTCCCCATTGTTGTCGATAGAGCAGATTCCGCATATTGAACTAGTATTCGACAGTCACCATTGTAAACTTCAACTGATCGATTTGACTCTTGTCTTGTAGCTGCCCTATGACTTCACTTGGAAGGTGCTGAAGGATACCTTCAGTACATGCGGTAAGAACATAATCCACTAATTTGTATATATGTAGGACTTTTTAAGGATAAGTAGAATTGTTGTTGTAGCTAGTAAATTCAAATATGCAACAGATTTTCAGACGAAGTCCCCACTGGTCGAGTTCTAGTGACTCGAGTTGGTTAAGTCTGATTCCTGGACTCAAGTCCCTTGCAATGTTGAAGTACTCATCTTAAATGTAATTGAACAGAATTGGAAAACATGCAAATGGGATGTTTTGAAGTTACGCCACATTTTCCCATTTCGCAATGACACCATGGTAAAGTCTTTCTGCCCCAAGATTCAATTGGAACTTTAGCCAAATTAATTAACCCCAATGTGCTTTCTTCTGCAGGTCTCGTCCAGTATGCTGACATCAAGACGGAGAATGGCAAGTCCAAGGGCTGTGGTGTGGTTCGCTTCGACAACCCGGAGACTGCAGAGAGAGCCTGTCGCACCATGAATGGCTACAGGCTGAATGGAAGAGAGATCGATGTTAGAATTGACAGAAACGCATAATTGTCCACAGATCCAGTGTAATTGTGGCCCTGATATTTGCATATTTCTTGGATTGTTGGGCTTTTGTAACAGTGCAAATGTGTACTTTTAGTTATTGCTCGTCCCTGCATTTTTTTTAGTGACCAAATTTGAATTTCTTTAATTTTACTTAATTCTTCACTTCATTGCCTTTGTACTGAGGTGTTTTGATAATAAATAACATTGGAATTTTGTTTTCTGTCCATTTTCCTTGCCACTCAAATGTACTACCGTAGCTTGTATGAAATGAAACACTGGTATCTAAACCTATTTCATAAGTACTATGCCCCCTTTGGGGGCTGTGTTTGAGTAAGAGATGGGAGAACCAACCAGTATAAAGGCACGGCACAGCCCCCCCCTTGTGTCAACATATGGGCCTCACAAGTCAGGAGTTCACGACCCTTCCCTTCCACAAGCTTCTCTGCCACCCACTACCAACACAAGTGCTAGCAGAGCAGCAAAGAGGCCCTGCAGTTACTTCAGCATCAGTCTTGTGACCATGTTATACTTCTAGCGTCTAAATCTCAGAAGTTCCCTTAACGGGTAATACTCTACAGTCATGTTCATAAGTTTTGAGAATGACACAAATACTAATTTTCACAGTCTGCCTCAGTTTGGATGATGGCAATTTGCATATACTCCAGAATGTCATGAAGAGTGATCAGATGAAAATGAACTTAATCCCCCAAAAAACATTTCCACTGCATTTCAGCCCTGCCACAAAAGGACCAGCTGCCATCATGTCAGTGATTCTCTCGTTAACACAGGTTAGAGTGTTAACAAGGACAAGGCTGGAGATCACTCTGTCATGCTGATTGAGTTACAATAACAGACTGGAAGCTTTAAAAGGAGGGTGGTGCTTCATTGTTAACTATGGTTACCTGCAGGGAAACACGTGCCGTCATCATTGCTTTGCACAAAAAGGGCTTCACAGGCAAGGATATTGCTGCACCTAAATCAACCATTTATCGGATCATCAAGAACTTCAAGGAGAGAGGTTCAATTGTTGTGAAGAAGGCGTCAGGGCGCCCAAGAAAGTCCAGCAAGCGCCAGGACGGTCTCCTAAAGTTGATTCAGCTGCGGGATCGGGGCACCACCAGTGCAGAGCTTGCTCAGGAATGGCAGCAGGCAGGTGTGAGTGCATCTGCACATACAGTGAGGCGAATACTTTTGGAGGATGGCCTGGTGTCAATAAGGGCAGCAAAGAAGCCACTTCTCTCCAGGAAAAACATCAGGGACTGACTGATATTCTGCAAAAGGTACAGGGATTGGAGTGCTGAGGACTGGGGTAAAGTCATTTTCTCTGATGAATCCCCTTTCCGATTGTTTGGGGCATCCGGAAAACACGTTGTCCGGAGAAGACAAGGTGAGGGCTACCATCAGTCCTGTGTCATGCCAACAGTAAAGCATCCTGAGACCATTCATGTGTGGGGTTGCTTCTCAGCCAAGGGAGTGGGCTCACTCACAATTTTGCCTAAGAACACACCATGAATAAAGAATGGTACCAACACATCCTCCGAGAGCAACTTCTCCCAACCATCCAAGAACAGTTTGGTGACGAACAATGCCTTTTCCAGCATGATGGAGCACCTTGCCATAAGGCAAAAGTGATAACTAAGTGGCTCGGGGAACAAAACATCGACATTTTGGGTCCATGACCAGGAAACTCCCCAGACCTTAATCCCATTGAGAACTTGTGGTCTCAAGAGGCGGGTGGACAAACTCCAAGCATTGATTATGCAAGAATGGGCTGCCATCAGTCAGGATGTGGCCCAGAAGTTAATTGACAGCATGCCAGGGCAGATTTAAGAGTTCTTGAAAAAGAAGGGTCAACACTGCAAATATTGACTCTTTGCATAAACTAAATGTAATTGTCAATAAAAGCCTTTGACACGTATGGAATGCTTGTAATTATACTTCAGTATACCATAGTAACATCTGACAGAAATATCTAATAACACTGAAGCAGCGAACTTTGAAGACCAATACTTGTGTCATGCTCAACTTTTGACCATGACTGTACTGTTTAAGACAACCGGGCTCTTTGGCACTTCACTACAAATGAGTGCCACTGGGTGATAATCAAGCATGTCACCATATAGGTATTTGGCAGTGGCATTAGTAAGGTAGTTGAAACATTTGGGGACATCTGACGGGTAACTGAAATAAAATAAAAACGGGTGCCAGCTGATCAGCGCAGGCACCTTCCGCTTATTTGTGCAAAACAAATATGCAAACGCAACTTGTCACTCCGTGCAAAAATAAAAAAACAAGTACTATAGAATATATAAATTAGAAGCCCAGTAATTTAAAACAATTGTCTGTTCACAGTGGAAGGTCTGGCTATTTCTCCAAGATTCTCTTCTGGGCGAAATAAAGCAGGAACTGCGGAAAGTGTTTCTAATCTCACTTTTGCTCCTGCACATCAGGCTCATTACTGTTGTCCTCGCTGTTACTCACACGGGGGCTGAGGTGGGTCTCTTCAATATGTGAGGTGATGTCATCTGATGCATCCAGCATAATCAGAAGCAACAGTATCCTTCAACACAGAAACAACAATTAATAACTGGCTAGCTACGATCTGAAGAACGTTAATCTGGCTAAGCAAGAAATTACTGAGCTTGTGTGAGTAAATCATTATGGAATAGAGTGGAGAAGCCATTTGGTTATAATAGCAACATGTGATAGCAGCTAAATCTACTTTGCTCAATGAAATTCAGTTCAAATACCTTGGGGGTCAGGAGGTTAGAAATGGTCTCCCTCGTGTGAGGCTCTAAAGTGTAGTCTGACAGTTATTTTTGTACAACAGCTTCCCGAAGAGGGAAGTTTGTGAGTTCAGAGAGTCCCGTCTTTTCTTTCTGAGTTATTTATCTTAAAGTAATGTTTGTAAACTTATGGTATTGGGGAAACGTTTGCTAACTAGTTAGCTTGCTAATGTTGGATAAATATACAGCAAACTTGACCTCGAGCCTGTCGCTGCAGTGTCCAAACTTTCACCCATCTTGTACGGTTTCGAGTTTTTTTTTTTAACAACCGCTTCTTCTTTTCTTTGTCATTCAGCATATTGACCAGAGCCGAAAGCGCCAGTGATACAGTACTTGTGCATAACTTATTTTTAAAGGAGCCAAATATTCTTATAACTAACCCTGTGTCCGAGCCATAGTTGGCGCTACTGCTAGCTCCTGGTCTGGATTTTTGTTGTTAAAAAGATCAATATATTTTTAATCATGATGCATGAATCTACCTATTTGACAAAGTTGTTGCATTCTAACCGAAATATTTATTTTTCGCTTAAGGCAAAAATGTCGAATCTTCCACATGTACGTCAGAAGGTCATCAGCGGAAAAGGTCACAGGCAATGCAACCAAGATGGCGGCCTCCTTGTGTCAGTGTTACCAGGTTAGTTATCATTAAAACATATTTTTCCACGTTGTCTTTTAACCAGAAATAATTCAGGTTACTTATTATTGAAAATAGCGATGGAATGCCTATATACTCAAACCGTCTTCTCCACTGCAATACGGTTTAACGCCGAATCAGACTAACTTAGCAGCAAGACTTAACTGAATGGAATCTCGTGTCATGTCAGTGTTTGGCTCTTGATTCATAACCGTATAAAATGTGTACCAAGCAATAGTTTGTTGCTATCTGTATGCACATTTCGAATATGCGTCATTTACACTTTTGCACACGTATTACATTTTTGCAATCGTAATCTCTGAGGTGGCAATATCAATTGTCTTGGGCACTTAAATTGTAGGTCTAACAAAACTTATCAGCCAATCATAATGTGGCCAGAACAAAATTTGAGTATTTCTAATTGTGCATTTCTTTCTCCAGCTGTGTGTCAGAAGAAGTTTGTTTGTGTCCAGTCCTTCATATTTTTTCCTACACAACAGACCTCATGTATACAGGATATGTGCGCCCCTCACAAGTTCTTCACAGGTAACCGTGAATGTTCTGCTTGTGATAATCATGCTAATCATTAATTGCATACTAGTAGACAATTTGAATTGTACCCTGCTTCCCTTCAGTTTAACAGTTGAGTTCTTATTTTTAACATTCAAAGTGCTTAGATCGCAGCCTGTCTGTAAATCCCATTTCTGTTTTAGCCAACTTGTCCTTGTCCAACAATGTAGCGTTGTTGAATGCAGAAGTAGTCAGATAACCACAATTCTTTGATTCCTATGCAGAAATACATTACATGACCATAAGTATGTGGACACCTGCTTGTCATACATCACATTCCAAAATCATGGGCATTAATATGGAGTTGGTCCCCCCCCCATTGCTGCTATAACAGCCTCCACTCTTATGGGAAGGCTTTCCACTAGATGTTGGAAAATTACTGCGAGGACTTGCTTACATTCAGCCACAAGAGCATTAGTGAGGTCGGGCACTGATGTTGGGCGATTAGGCCTGGCTTGCAGTCGGCGTTCCAATTCATCCCAAAGGTGTTCGATGGGGTTGAGGTCAGGGCTCTGTGCAGGCCAGTCAAGTTCTGTTGCCACAAAGATTGAAGCACAGAATAGTCTAGAATGTCATTGTATTCTGTACCGTTAAGATTTCCCTTCACTGGAACTAAGGGACCTAGCCCGAACCATGAAAAACAGCCCCAGACAATTATTCCTCCTCCACTAAACTTTACAGTTGGCACTATGCATTGGGGCAGGTAGCATTCTCCTGGCATCCGCCAAACCCAGATTTGTCCGTCAGACTGCCAGATGGTGATGCGTGATTCATCACTCCAGAGAACGTGTTTCCACTGCTCCAGAGTCCAATGTCGGCGAGCATTACACCACTCCAGCCGAAGCTTGGCATTGTGCATGGTGGTCTTAGGCTTGTGTGCGGCTGCTCGGCCATGGAAACCCATTTCATGAAGCTCCCGACGAACAGTTATTGTGCTAACGTTGCTTCCAGAGGCAGTTTGGAACTCAGTGAGTGTTGCAACCGAGGACAGATTATTTATATGCGCTTCAGCAGTCCTGTTCTGTGCGCTTGTGTGGCCTACCACTTCGCGGCTGAGCCGTTGTTGCTCCTAGACGTTTCCGCTTCACAATAACAGCACTTATAGTTGACCAGGGAAGGAATTTGACGAACTGACTTGTTGGAAAGATGGCATCCTATGACGGTGCCACGTTGAAAGTCACTGAGCTCTTCAGTAAGGCTTTTCTACTGCCAATGCTTGTCTATGGGGATTGCATGGCTGTGTGCTTGATTGTATACACCTGTCAGCAACGGGTGTGGCTGAAATAGCTGAATCCACTATTTTGAAGTCGTGTCCACATATTTTTGTGTATGTTCCGCTTTCTTCAACTCATACAATGCCCATATCTTGCTCTAGGTACGGTATGCATCAGACAGGGGAGGTGGCCGAAAAGGCTTCTTTGGGGGGTTCTTGGACAACCTCAAGCAGGAGCTCAGCAAGAACAAGGAAATGAAGGAGAACATCAAGAAGTTTCGCGAGGAGGCCAAAAAGTTGGAGGAATCAGAAGCTCTGAAGCAAGCTCGGAGGAAATATGTGAGTGCTCCAATCCATTGAACAGCTCTATTCATTCATCTTTGGGTGGGCATTTGTGGCCCAGCAAATTAATATTGATGCGCATGTCAAATGTTGTTTCATTGTCACATTGAACAAAGGATGTTGTTAGGCAGGTTGGATTCAATAATTACTTGATTTCTTTCCTTCACTATTTTACTTTCTTCCTTAGCAAACCATAGAGTCTGAAACTGTGAAGACGTCTGAAGTTCTGAAGAAGAAGTTAGGGACCTTCTCAGAGACTGTGAAAGAGGTACATGGATTGCTGTAGTCACACGAGTTCCGTCATCAAGGCTGATGAGTATGGTAAATGTAGAGCTGCATGTTGTCAATTAAATGGCAACATTGACATGAATTACATGCAGTGCCTTCGGAAAGTATTCAGACCCCTTTACTTTTCCCACATTTTATTACGTTAGCCTTATTCTAAAATTGATTAAATACATTTTGTTACTCATCAATCTACACCAATAGCTCATAATGACAAAGCGAAAACAGGTTTTTACAAATGTTTGCTAATTTAAAAAACTAAACCGTGATTCCTTATTTACATAAGTATTCAGACCCTTTGCTATGAGACTCGAAATTGAGCTCAGTTGCATCCTGTTTCCATTGATCATACTTGAGATGTTTCTGCAACTTGACCGGAGTCCACCTGTGGTAAATTCAATTGATTGGACATGATTTGGAAAGGCACACACCTGTCTATATAAGGTCCCACAGTTAACAGTGCATGTCAGCGCAAAAACCAAGCCATGATGTTGAAGGGATTGTCCATAGATCTCCGAGACAGGATTGTGTGGAGGCACAGATCTGGGGAAGGGTAAAAAATTAATAATAATCTGCAGAATTGAAGGTCCCCACGAACAAAGTGGCCTCCATCATTCTTAAATGGATTAAGTTTGGAAATCTTCCTAGAGCTGGCCGCCCGGCCAAACTGAGCAATCAGGGGAGAAGGGCCTTGGTCAGGGAGGTGACCAAGAATCCGATGGTCACTCTGACAGAGCTCCAGAGTTCCTCTGTGGAGGTGGGAGAACCTTCCAGAAGGACAACCATCTCTGCAGCAGCAGGGACTGAGAGACTAGTCAGGATCGAGGTAAAGATTAACGGAGCAAAGTACAGAGAGATCGTTGATGAAAACCTGCTCCAGAGCGCTCAGGACTTCAGACTTGGGTGACGGTTCACCTTCCAACAGGACAACGACCCTAAGCACACAGCCAAGTCAACGCAGGAGTGGCCTGCGGAACAAGTCTCTGAATGTCCTTGAGTGGCCCAGCCAGAGCTAGGACTTGAACCTGATCGAACATCTCTGGAGAGACCTGAAAATAGCTGTGCATCAACACTCCCCATCCAACCTGACAGAGCTTGAGAGGATCTGCAGAGAAGAATGGGAGAAACTCCCCAAATACAGGTGTGCCAAGCTTGTAGCGTCATACCCAAGAAGACTCTAGGCTGTAATCGCTGCCAAAGGTGCTTCAACAAAGTACTGAGTAAAGGGTCTGAATACTTATGTAAATGTGATATTTCAGTTTTTGCTAAAATGTCTAAAAACCTGTTTTTGCTTTGTCATTATGGGGTATTGTGTATAAATGAGGGGGGGGGAAACGATTTAATCAATTTTAGAATAAGGCTGGAAAAAGTCAAGGGGTCTGAATACTTCCCGAATGCACTGTATGTATGCCTTCGTCATGTCAGCAGAAAGTGTGTGAGTGTCTCAGACAAAGTTCATGTGTCTGTTTTATTTGTTTTTAGGGTCTGGAAGAGGTCAGTCGTACAGATATAGGGAGGAAGATCAAGGAGGGAGTGGAGGAAGCAGCAAAGACAGCCAAGACGTCTGCAGAGTCTGTGTCCAAGAGTGGCGAGAAACTGGGAAAGACTGGTGCCTTCAGGGCAATATCTCAGGTGAGAATGGATGGGTTCTCCCAAGGTCCAAAAAGGACCAATTCAGCACTTCAAAGTCAAATACCGGGTTCGGTCATGTTCACTGCATTATAGCAATCACTGGCTCCATTTGTTGTCACTGCATAGACCAAGCAAGTCAAATGATCAGGAGGGAATGTACAGAACCAACCCATTGCTTAGGGAGCTCATCACAACAGCCCATACATTTCCCCTAAAGCCTGCTGTATGTGCACACACAGGGTATAGAGAGTGTGAAGAAGGAGATTGATGACCTTAATCAGAGTGGGCCCTACCGGGCCCCCAAGAGACTACGGAAGAGGAGTGACTTTTCGTCTAAGGCTGCAGAAAATGAGAACAAGGTCTTCGAGGCCAATGAGTACGTGCTGGCAGTCTCCCACTCTCATTCTGTTTCGGTAGAGCTCTAGATTTGTATTTGAGTCAATATCACACCATGTTTTTCAGTGCCCAAATTGCACATGCGGGTATAATTTGGATGCACAGCCAGGGTGAAAGTCAGTTCTAGTCTAGATAAGTGTGTGTAGTGGCATGGCCGTGAGCACTGAGCAGTGATCTGTTTTCTAGGGAGGCCATGGGGGTGGTGCTGCACAAGGACTCCAAATGGTACGCACAGTGGAAGGACTTCAAGGACAACAATATGGTTTTTAACAGTAAGGACAGCCTGTCTCTATCAGTTTGTTAATCTTTCTGATGTCTGCGGTAGTCATTGCAGTCTAAGTATCACCCTTCCGAATCATAATGTAGGAGGATGATATGTTATTTATATGATGAAGACAGAGCGATTCCTCTAAAATATTACATTATTGCTACATCAAAGAATGGTAAGAATGTCTGCTGCTGTAAAACGTTTGTCCAGTAGATGGGGCTAAGTGCAAGTGTATAACAATCAGTGGCTTAGTGCTGTGAATCAGGCTCTGTGGAAACCATGCCCATATACAGTGGCTTGTTGCTCTGCGGGGCGTGGTGCGTTTGTTATCTTTACCAAGTGTCCTTTACGTTTGACTTTACCTTGAACATGAACTTTTGTCCATTTCCAAATTCAAACTGTCGTCATGGTTGGCAGTCAAATGTTCCGGTCTCCAAAATCATAAAGTCTTGAGGGTGCACATTGTAAGGGATCCAAACCTAGTGTAGATGGGGCTCCCTCTGCTAGCTGATTGACTGCTGTATCAGCCTGGTGAACAGTGTCCTGCTCCTATTAAAACCTTTGTGCTAATGGTCCCCCACTAACGAGCAGCAGGTAATGGGAGCCCAGGCACTTCCTAGGCGTCGGGTAGGAGAGGCTGGGGAGCAGTGTCTTTTTACTAGGTGCCTTGAAAACAACTGTTCCTGTTGTTGGTTTTCACCGTAGCCTTATACAGGGAGCAAGCAATTAAGCATTACCTAAGGAAACTGCACCGACTATAAATCATGTTTCTGAATTGTGAAAAGGAACTATGATATACAGGAAGGACATTGTACAAAGTCAATAGAAATAAATTGTATCAAGTTTCTTATTGTCACATCACAATTTACATTTTTAGTCATTTAGCAGACGCTCTTATCCAGAGCGACTTACATTTAGTGAGTGCATACATTTTTCATACTGGCCCCCCCCCGTTGGAATCTAACTCACAACCCTGGCGTTGCAAACGCCATGCTCTACCAACTGAGCTACACAGGGCCTACTTGCCTGACACTGTAAATACATAATGGAATCCAATCTGGGTATGTTTGTACTGCATGTGTTATCAGAGAATGTGCCAGCGAAGTACAGTAAGTAATCAATCACACAGCAGAGCGATACTGTACAACGACCCACAGCTCAGTCCCAGTGTTTGATCCATATGATACAACTCAATGCCCTGACCTTGGGGAAACGCTACTTATGCTGAGTCCAAAAAAACTCTTCCCCCAGCCTGTTACTCTTTGTTTGACGTTGATACACTGCAATTACATGAGATCACTCACACTGCACTCCCCATTTGCACTCTCTTCCAAGGGTTCTTCGAAATGAAGATGAAGTATGATGAAAGCGAGAATGCCCTCGTCAGAGCGTCTCGTGCCGTCACTGATAAAATGACCGACCTCCTAGGTAACCTACTAACTTCTCCATGCCACCAACCCTAACCCCAATCACATGTTTTTGGTAGGTGGGCTCTGTCTTTGTTCTTGTCTAAAGTTGTGTGTGCATGTCTGGTCAGGTGGGCTCTTCTCCAAGACAGAGATGTCTGAGGTGCTGACAGAGATTCTGAAGGTGGACCCGTCGTTCGACAAAGATGTGTTCCTCAAGCAGTGTGAATTTGACATCATACCAAACGTCCTGGAGGTAAAGAAATATCTTTCCTCCCCTAACATTTGTGTGGTACAGATTGTGTTGAAGGCATACAGTAGGAAAACTGGTTTTCTTTTTGAGCTGAAGACACTTGGAAATAAAACCTTCCATGTAACACTGAGTTGTATGTCACTGCAGTTAATAGACACTAGACAAATTATTCGGTCTGCGATCTTCAACATTAGTTGAAACAGTCTGTCTCACTTAAATCTGATGAATATCCAGACAAATTGTAAAATCAATGGAGCACTTCTTTCTCCACTGTCCAGATACATTTTATTGCTCTTTTTGTCTATATCTGCAGTGCCTCATGAGGTGTGGATATCACACTAGTCTGACCTCTCTGGTTGCTTTACCTCTCTCTGTCTCTTTCTGTCTGCAGGCCATGATCCGAGGGGAGCTGGAGGTTCTGAAGGACTGGTGTTATGAAGCGGTAAGCACTCTTTTATTGACCAGTTTATTATCGACTATTCATTTGTACACCGACTGAAGATAAATTGATTATTTGTGAAGCACTGTAAATGTAGACCTGCAATAGTGGTGCTGAGATGTTCTGTATTTTTTTTCCTGCCCTTGCTGTTCTTAGCCCACACCTCTCTGTCTTATGTGTAGACTTACAGCCAGCTGGCCCACCCTATTCAACAGGCCAAGGCTATGGGCCTGCACTTCCACTCTAAGATCCTGGACATAGACAACATTGATGTGAGTTACCCTTTACAACAGTCTCTTCCTAATATTTGTTTGTGGGATTTGCTTTTCTAATAGTCTTTAATTGTGTGTGTGTGTGTGTGTGTGTGTGTGTGTGTGTGTGTGTGTGTGTGTGTGTGTGTGTGTGTGTTCAGCTGGCCATGGGGAAGATGATGGAGCAGGGCCCGGTGCTGATCATCACCTTCCAGGCCCAGCTGGTCATGGTGATCCGCAACACTAAAGGAGACGTCATAGAGGGAGACCCTGTGAGTAGAATACACTCTCCATCTCTACTCTGGAAATGAGGATCATTTGTAAAAGTATTAAAACAGGGCTCTGTTTGTCTCTGAGCTTGGCTAGTCAGATATGGCAATGTTTCAGACCTGGGGTGCATCTCTTATAGTCTAAAGTGGCTTCCTTCCCTTGTCTTTCAAAGGAGCGAAAGAGAGGAAGCCAGACTAGACTACTGAGACCCTGCTGACTGTCAGCCAGGCTCCACATGAAAGCCTCCTGAGCTGTAAATCTGTCTGATAGGCCAGTGAGGGCACCTCAGGGAGGCTTTGGATTGGGGGAGGGGGAGGGCTGGGCATAATGGGAGCCGCAGGAAACTGGCATGCACCCCCTCAGTCTACCGCAAGGCACTGCCAGGGGATTTATGGAGGCTGGGCTTTTATTTGTTCTATTGTTGATGATGCAACTTTTGTTCCCCCTTGTCTCTCACTGAGAGAATAGGCTGGAAAGGCTAGCAGGGAGGGTTGTACAATTTGGACACCTGTTCAAAAGCATTGAAAGTGACTTAATTTTTGCAACTTGCCATTACCTTTGTCTGTTTGGCCCACAGGACAAGGTGCTGAGGATGATGTACGTGTGGGCCCTGTGTCGAGACCAAGAGGAGCTGAACCCCTATGCAGCCTGGAGACTCCTGGACATCTCTGCCTCCAGCACTGAACAGATCCTCTGAGGCCAACACACACACACACACACACACCCAGGGCTGGAAGACCAAGGTGAAGAGGGGAGGCAGGCTGGACGGGGCATGGAATTACCACAGGGACATGAACAAGCAGTGCTGACACTTTCGGCAACCCAGCTAACCCCTCCACCACCATGGCTTTGGGTGGCCCACTGTGGACTGCCTCTTCTGGTTGCCCCTCATGGACCGGACTGGTGGTGTTCACAGACCAGGATAGAGGAAACCCAGACTGGATAGACATGTGTTCCCACTGGGTGACTCTAGGGGCAGTAGTCCACTCAAAGCAGTCACCCTGTCCTCCTGTCTGTCACACCATGGTCAGATAAGTTGATACTTGTCCTCCTCCTCTCCCAGAAATAATGTTCACTGGAGGATGTGAAGGGTGTCTTTTAATGCTTCTCTGTTGATCCCTTCCCAGTTTGGGGAGGACATCTTGGATGCCATGTGGTCCACCAGTGCCCTAGACACACATTTGTATGATAGCCCAGTCTAATTATTGAATTGAGAAAGTCTATATTTATTATGAAAAAATCTAATAAAAATGACACCAGGTTCACCTCTTCAGACATTTTGTTTGAGGAGTTTTGTTGTACCCATTTGCTGTAAAATGTTTAGGCTTGCCTTAAATAAACTTGGAGATATCTGCCAATATTTTTGACGGCAAACTGTTTATTATTAAAACCTCAACGAAGTGGGTCTTCAATGTATGGCCATGAGATTTTCTTTATTTTAGAGGACACAAATCCTAAAAGATTTTCTGTTGCTGCAGGTGTTAACAGTATTGTTTTAGTATCACTAATTAGCATTGAGCGTCTGCGAACTTGAAGTGATATGGCACACAGATTTGGAATTCTATTGTTTTTTAGAAGGCCTCCAGACAACGCCATGCTGCTAAACAGTCCTAACACAATGGTGCCACACAGGGGGTGACAGAGGTTTATGTACACGTGGATCCTCCACTGTTCTGACAACTCATTGGATTGTGATTTGCTGCTATTTAGCTTTTATCCCCCCAGAGATCAGTGAATGTCATGCTTGAGTTTCTGTTTTTATATCAAGCACGCTTGGCAGAGAGAGAAGGCGCCACTTACTGGTGATTTTTTATGGTTGTAGTTTCTCACTACGTCATGGCCAATATGAGTCAACTTAATAAACATTTCTGAATTCCAACCATGTTATATTTGTTTTTAATGCCAGACTTGTTGTTTTGGTTTATGTAACTTATTGAACTTCAGCCCATGAGTGTCATAACATGTAGATGGCTGCCATTTTGAAATGCGTGTAAAGCTTCCCAACTGAGGATGTGCACACTTTTGATTCTCTGACCGAAGAACAGAATATATTTCAAAACAGTTCAGAGAGATAATATTCTCTATAGACTCCCTGTAAGCCAGTGTCCTTACTTGTCCTTTCCTGCAGGTGAAAGTCTCACTGACTGTAGAGCACGCTGCAATACATGGAAAGGGGGCCTTATCATGACTGATGTCACCCATTACCCCTGTGAGGGCGGCCAGCACAGCTAGTGGAATGCAGAGCAGCGGGGCCTGCTGAGGACAGTGGGTGGATGTGGATGCTACCAGCTCTGATGCACACGGATTGATTACCCAGGCCTTAGGAAACCTGATGAACAAGCCCACCTCCTGCCTATTGATTCATACATGGCAGTAAGTAGCCAACCTATTCCAGGGCTGTCTGCGACGATGGATCCCCCTAGCTGGTGAGCTACACAATATTTGCATGACCCAACGCGGAATGCCTGGATACAGCCCTTAGCCGTGGTATATTGGTCATATACCATAACCCCCTGAGTTGCCTTATTGCTATTATAAACTGGTTACCAAAGTTATTAGACCAGTAAAAAATACATGTTTTGTCATACCCGTGGTATACGGGCTGTCAGCCAATCAGCATTCAGGGCTTGAACCACCCAGTTTATAAATATACACAGGGCATTCGGAAAGTATTCAGACCCCTTGACTTTTTCTACATTTTGTTGCGTTACAGCCTTATTCTAAAATTGATTAAATAATTGTTTTTCCTAGTCAATCTACACACAATATCCCATAATGACAAAGCGAAAACAGGTTTTTAAACATTTGTGCAACTGGATTAAAAACAGAAATACCTTATTTACATAAGTATTCAGACCCTTTGCGATGAGACTCGAAGTTGAGCTCAGGTGCATCCTGTTTCCATTGATCATCCTTGAGATGTTTCTACAACTAGATTGGAGTCCACCTGTGGTAAATTCAATTGATTGGACATGATTAGGAAAGGTACCACAGTTGACAGTGCATGTCAGAGCAAAAACCAAGCCACACGGTCGAAGGAATTGTAAGTAGAGCTCCTAGACAGGATTGTGTTGAGGCACAGATCTGGGGAAGGGTACCAAAACAGCCATGCAATCTCCATAGACAAACTTTGGCAGTAGAATGGCCTTACTGAAGACCTCAGTGACTTTCAACGTGGCACTGTCAAAGGTTGCCACCTTTCCAACAAGTCAGTTTGTAAAATCTCTGCCCTGCTAGAGCTGCCCCGGTCAACTGTAAGTGCTGTTATTGTGAAGTGGAAACATCTAGGAGCAACAACAGCAAAGTGGTAGGCCACACAAGCTCACAGAACAGGACTGCCGAGTGCTGAAGCGCGTAATGCGTAAAAATCGTCTGTCCTCGGTTGCAACACTCACTATCGAGTTCCAAACTGCCTCTGGAAGCAACGTCAGCACAATAACTGTTCGTCGGGAGCTTCATGAAACGGGTTTCCATGGCCAAGTAGCTGCACACAAGCCTAAGATCACCATGCGCAATGCCAAGTATCGGCTGGAGGGATGTAAAGCTCACCGCCATTGGACTTTGGAGCAGTGGAAACACGTTCTCTGGAGTGATGAATCATGCTTCACCATCTGGCAGTCTGACGGACTAATCTGGGTTTGGCGGATGCCAGGAGAACACTACCTGCCCCAATGCATAGTGCCAACTGTTAAGTTTGGTGGAGGAGGAATAATGGTATGGTGCTGTTTTTCATGGTTCAGGCTAGGCCCCTTAGTTCCAGTGAAGGGGAATCTTAACGCTACAGCATACAATGACATTCTAGACGATTCTGTGCTTCCAACTTTGTGGCAACTGTTTGAGGAAGGCCCTTTTCTGTTTCAGCATGACAATGCCCCTGTGCACAAAGCGAGGTCCATACAGAAATGATTTGTCGAGATCAGTGTGGAAGAACTTGACTGGCCTGCAAGTTGGCTGGATGTCCTATGGGTGGTGGACCATTGTTGATACACACGGGAAACTGTTGAGTGTGAAACCCAGCAGCGTTGCAGTTCTTGACACAAACCGGTGCGCCTGGCACCTACTACCATACCCAGTTCAAAGGCACTTAAATATTTTGTCTTCTTCTGAATGGCACACACACAATCCACGTCTCAATTGTCTCAACGCTTAAAAATTATGATTTAACCTGACTCCTTGCCTTCATTTTCACTGATTTGAAGTGGATTTAACAAGTGATATCAATAAGAGATCATAGCTTTCACCTGGATTCTCCTGGTCAGTCTATGTCATGGAAAGAGCAGGTGTTCCTAATGTTTTGTACACTCTGTGTACTTTCGATATCTGCTTTTCATCAGTTATCTTCCCTAGTTGAGTGACACCAAACCAATTGGAATGCATTTAATGGAAGATGACTGGAAAGTAATTCCTCAAGTCAATTGACTATAGTATTAAATTCACTGCCCCTTGTCAGCGAAGCTATATTATTTCACGTGATATATTCAGTATTCCAAATAAAATAAAATTGTATTTGTCACATGCGCCGAATACAACAGGTGTAGACCTTACAGTGAAATGCTTTCTTACAAGCCCTTAACCAACAATGCAGTTTTAAGAAAGAATACCAAAAAAAATCACACAAAAAAGCAAAATAAAAGGAACAAATAATTAAAGAGCAGCAGTAAAAATAACAATAGCGAGGCTATATACAGGGGGTACCGGTACTGAGTCAATGTGCGGGGGCACCGGTATTCATGGTTATAGTCCGGCAAATGGCCATCTCTGACACTTGACCACCTGTGAAGTTTAAGTTTTTCATGCCTGTCATCCTTCTATTCATTTAGTCACCCTCTCTTCCTCTTTTTCTGATGCTCCATTAAGTTGGCTGTAGTTGAGTTCCCCCAGCCCCCATCTCCCTATCCAGCAACACCCCCTCCTCTATTCCTCTGTTCTAATAGAGGAAGTGCCAGAGGTCAGCAAGCCAGTGAGGAGAAACCTCAACCCCTCATGTAAACTCTCCTTCCAGACTCACATTAAGCATCTCCAATCAAAAGTTAGATCTAGAATCGGCTTCCTATTTCGCAACAAAGCCTCCTTCACTCATGCTGCCAAACATGCTCTCGTAAAACTGACTATCCTACCGATCCTTGACTTCGGCGATGTCATTTACAAAATAGCCTCCAACACCCTACTCAGCAAATTGGATGTAGTCTATCACAGTGCCATCCGTTTTGTCACCAAAGCCCCATATACTACCCACCATTGTGACCTGTACGCTCTTGTTGGCTGGCCCTCACTACATATTCGTCGCCAAACCCACTGGCTCCAGGTCATCTATAAATCACTGCTAGGCAAATCCCCGTCTTAATTTAGCTCACTGGTCACCCGTAGTCTGCGCTCCAGCAGGTACATCTCACTGGTCATCCCCAAAGCCAACACCTCCTTTGGCCGCCATTCCTTCCAGTTCTCTGCTGCCAATGACTGGAACGAACTGCAAAAATCTCTGAAGCTGGAGACTCTTATCTCCCTAACTAACTTTAAGCGTCAGTTGTCAGAGCAGCTTACCGATCACTGCACCTGTACACAGCCTTTCTGAAATTAGCCCACCCAACTACCTCATCCCCATATTGTTATTTATTTTGCTAATTTGCACCCCAGTATCTCTATTTGCACATCATCTTTTGCACATCTATCATTCCAGTATTATATGAAATTGTAACT